CCAACTAAAGCTTCGGAATAAAGGAGGCGACATATAGATTAGAAAAGTGGATAAGTCAAAAAGTTTTGTTGGGGTGCATAATGTTTTCATTTTTTATTTGAGAGATTGGTGGAGTGTGTTTGCACAAATTTCTCATGTGAGAGTATTCATGTGTAGATCCTTCACTTTTTGAGTTTCTTTCTCTTTTTCTTGGTTCGTGCAAAACAAATATGAGTAAAAGACCACACCCAAGGAGTGTTGGAGGCCCTTTGATGCCTAAGTTAGTTTGATTGGATCTTTGAGATAAGATGTGGCAATAGCTAAAAATGGTACAAAGTTTTTTCTCATGGGAAGAGTCTGGTGGTCGGAGCCGTGTGGGGAAAATATGGAGAGAGAGAGAGAGAGAGAGAGAGAGAGAGAGAGAGAGAGAGAGAGAGAGAGAGAGAGAGAGAGTAGGGCTCTCGGGTAAAAAAAATCGGATTACCTTGTGTGTTGAATGTGACTATGTATTTATAGGGCTCTAGCCACCTAGGGTTTTTTTTAAAAAGAATATCTTCTTATTTGGAAGGAAGATATTCTTTCCCAAAAATGTAGAGATTGAGTCAATTAGGAATTTGGTTGGGATCCCCAAAATGAGATAATATCCTAAATTGATGATATTATCTTTTAATTGGTGATTATATTCCCAAATAAAGATAATATCCTATATTTAAGATAATATCTCTATTTTTAGTATCAATTAATTGGCCAAATAAATAGGCTCAATTAATTGACCTAGGAGATATTCTTCTTGTCCACGTGTCACCTTGTGATTGGAAGCCAGAATATTTGCTCCCACAAATGCTCCCGCGCTTATGAGGCATGGAAGATATGAGAAATACTCTTTGGGCTTTCCAACTGCATATGAGTTTTCGTCCTTGAGTTGGATTCCTTTTGTAAATTGGGCTCCTAATTGGAATAGGCTTTTGACTTTTCTTGGAGTTGGGCTCCCAATGGGAATAGGCTCGTGATTCCTTATTGGTCAAGGATACCCAACGATTATAAATGCAAGGCTTCTCTTCACTCATCTTCATATCGCAAACTTGTTTTCCTCTACTTTCTAGCTTATGAGAGAGATCTTGGAGGATTGTATTGCTTGTTGAGGAAAATAGTTGCGGTAGGTCACACTTGGGGTTTTATTTTTTTATTATTATTTTTTTGCAATAAGGACCAATTAGCCGGTTGATATCGACTTTTACAACCAGGGGCTACTCCTGTGGTCGTGGGTCTACCATGTCTTGCTATGATATGTCTTAAATTACTGATATGCTTTACTCACATATCCAAAGTTTTGTCAAATGTGAGTTTTTGTGGGCAATCAACTTCTGTCTTCTGCTTGCAGTTTGACAAGATCAGTAAAAAGCTTGATCTCGAGCCGTACATGGCAAAAGTTTGTCAAGCCATGAAAGTAGGAAGATGCTCTGCCCTGAGCTGCTGATGTAGAAAGATGGAAACATCATGGTCTCGACTCAAACGATCAACTGATCTTTTGCTTAAGGTGAGCAGGATGCCGTCACGAACACAGATACAGTCGAGGAGCGGGCAGTTGGTGAGACGATGGTTGATGAGTCTGCAGTCGAGGATGATGAAGCCAAGAAGGTCGCATCAGATGAGGCTTAGGCTGATGCTATGGAGCAGGTGGCTGATGAGACTGTAGCTGAGAAGGATGATGTTAAGGAGGGTGTAGCTGACGAGGTGGCAGCAAACTTGGCAGAGTAGGCAGCTGGAGCTGTTGAGCAGATGGTTGCATCTGATGAGCATGTAACTAAGCTAGGCAGAGCCACGAAAGGTGTAATTGATTAGGTGGAAGTTGAGCAAGCCGCCGGCCAGTAGATGGAGACTCTTTTATCTTTTCAAGCTTTGTAATCTACTTTCTTTTGAACTCGGTCGGCTGGTCACTTTACTATGGAAACTTCAGTGGTTTCTTTCACTTCAATTTGTATTGTGTCTTGTGATTCGCTTGAGTGTCCGGCAAGAGCCTTGGTAGTGCATTGCCCTTGGGATGTTTGAATGTTTACCTACTGCTTGCTTGAATGATGCTCTTCTGCTTCTCCCTTATGATGCTTCATGGTGATTGCCTTGCATCTCCCTTAGGACGGTTCTTATGGGCGAGGGCCTGGTTGGCCTGTGTCTCCCTTAGAACGTTTCATGGTTATTGCCTTACGTCTCCTTTAAGACACCTCATAGTTGTTGTCCTGTGTCTCCCTTAGGATTTTCAAAGAATATCTTCTTATTTGGAAGGAAGATATTATTTCCCCAAAATGTAGAGATTGAGTCAATTAGGAATTTGATTGAGATCACTAATTAATGATACTATCCCCAAAATGAGATAATACCTAAATTGATGATATTAACTTTTAATTGGTGATTATATTCCCAAATAAAGATAATATCTCATATTTAAGATAATATCCTTATTTTTAATATCAATTAATTGGCCAAATAAATAGGCTCAATTAATTAATCTAAGAGATATTCTTCTTGTTCACGTGACATCTTGTGATGGGAAGCCGATAAATTTCCTGATCTTGTGATTGGAAGTCGATAAATTTCCTCCCACAGGGTGCATAATATTTACTCACAGGTCAATGGGTCGAAACTTGAACTGGTTCTCTTATATATATGGTAAATTAATGAATCTATTGCCAATTTGAATCTGATTTAATGTTTCGAATAATGCCCGTTATTCATGAGTTACAATATTTGGGGAAAGCTCTATAGTTAAAATCTCAGGTTGACCAAATATAAGGGAATTATAATCATAGAAGTGCGGTTTATCAAACCAGCTATATATTCATGCACAAACTAGCTCTTAGTTTAATATATTTGATAAATTTATAAATATATCTATTTCTTGCATTGATTTTATATACAAACACTAAATGCTATAAATTGAAAAGAAAAAAAAACACCAAAAAGGACCGGATGATGTGTGAAATACCATTATGATTTTTAGAAGAAAAAAAAAAAGAAGTCGGAGAGGAATGGAAGAGAGAAAAGGAAAAATATAAAGAAAGAAAAGAAAAGTGTGTGGGCTTCTTAAAAAAAAAGAAAAAAAGCGTATGGACTTCTACCAAAAAGAGAAAGGTAAGGTATATGGGCTTTGAAGTTGGGTTTAGGGGAGTTGGGTTGTATTATATATATATATATATATATATATATAACCAATCTGGTTCGGTGCGGACCGATTTTTTGAGATGCAAAATCAGAATCGAAATCGGGTTGAATCAATTTGATTCGATTTTTTTAACTTTTGTTGACTTTTTAGTCAACTAGGTTTTTGACCGCTTTTTTCAACTAGTTCCACTAGGTTTTCCAGTCCATGCCCACCCCTAGTAACAATCAAATTGACAAATTACCAATTCAAGTTGTTTGGTATGGTAACCGGTTTTCGCAATATGAAAATAAATAAAAAATACCAAAAAGAGTTTGTTTGGTTTTGGTAAATATAGGAACCGACATATGACCGACTTTTCGAAATCAAAAGGCTACCGAGATATATCAAAGAAGTAACCCTCCGTTTGGATGAAGAAATTAAAAATTGCATAGAATTCTTAAATGACAGAATTTAGATATCTATCGTTTAAATTTCTAGCAATTAATAATTTCAATGTTTGGATTTATGTATGTCGAATTTTGTAAATGATAGAAATTACAGGGAAAAAAGAATTCTTGCTCAATAGAAATTGCGAAATGACGCATCTTTTGGCTGAAATTAAACTTGGAAATCTCTATACCCAATTTTGACGATTTTGTCCTTGCGTCATTTAATAAGCTCCATTCTTAAGTTGCCAAATGATGGAAATATCAAATTCTCCCCTTCAATTCCTGACTTTTAGCTAAATTTAGAGTTATTTTCCTCCATCCAAACGGAGTGTGATAGAAATGTTAGTATTCAATAATACCACTAATAATATTGAGATAGTTGCTGCATAGGGCATCCACGCCAAAGACGAAAGGAGTGAAGAGTCGTTCAGGAATTTCTAGCTCATCCATGGTTCTATATGTTAGAAATCACATGCAAATTTTATTTTCTTTTTCAGTTTTTGTGAAGATTGCAGAGTAATGATGTGAACTTTTGGGGTTATTAATGTATTTAGAAATACAAAGTGCCTTTTCGACCTATACCAGAGCAGGCAGGCAAGCAATTTCCTAGCATTTTCTTTGCTTTCGCTTCATAATATTTTGTTTCAACATAAACTGGTTTCATAAACGTTTACAGCTAGCGTAAAATTATTTTTGTGCAAAATAGACATTTCCCTCTCAATTTCTTTTCTTTTGGTGTGACCTGTAAAATGGTTTGACGTATGATAATATTTAACTTTATAAAGTCAGAACAAATTCCTTCATGAGCCTGAGGGAAGGAGCCCTGAATCTTCGTTCAAATTATGTTTTACCAGCAAATGATGACTATTTTAGAATTGAATCTTTACTTTGTTAAAAAAAGTCTTTGTTCAAATCTCGTGAACATACAACTAGATATTTGGCCTCGATGGTCCTTTTTTCAAAGCATAAAGCTGCATTATGCATCCATGGCTTGGACAGATTTGTCTTTAAGCTAGTTCCATGGCTTCCTAGAAACGGACCAAGATATGAGCCAAAAGGATCAGAAAAACTTGTATGAAATAGGGATAATTTGGTTTGCTATTTTGGTCAATTATAGAATGCTATGTAAGAAAATTATCACACGTGATATATTGTAATTGATCAGAAATAACACTACTTCTACTATTTCCATTTCATGTAAGCCAAGATATGAACCAAAAGGAAATTCTATATATACTAAAACCCAATGCAACTAAATACTGTAGCTAAGCACAGTGAAATTACGAAACTGCCCTCTCTTTTTACTGTTTTGCAAACTCATTTTTCTCATCAGCACAGTGAAATCACGGTTTGCCCTTGATTAATTAGTTTCTGCTCTTCCCCGTTTTGCGCCCCTCTCCTTCGATTGCAACGACTTGGAGCCTTCGTTCTATCTGATGCTGAGTTCGTTTCTAACCAGGTTGGTTGGCCTGGTGGCGGGGCAATGATGGAAGAGGTCGGTTTACTGTTGGAGATTATCTGGAGGCTTCGATTTTTATAGAAGTGGTGTGCATTGCTCTTCTTCTTCATATCGAACTCCAGCTCTCTCTCTGTTTCAATCTCTTTCTCTAATTCTCAGACATGGGTACTTTCAAGGTAAGCATGCATAGCTTATTCTCAGATTTCTCTACCCTTGCTAATTCATCTTATCTCATCTGCTTCGTTTGTTCAGCCATCTTTCCAGCTGCGCTTCATCCTTCTTCTCATCGCACGGGTTTAGCTCAAAGGGATTTCTAGGTTTCGAAAAAAAAGGTTGGTTTTAACATTCTTTTGGTTTTCTAGGTTGGTTTATTCATTTTCCATATCGAAAATTGAGAAGGAAATCAGAAATTGAGTTTGGTTTGTTTTTACAGGGAGGAAGATCTAAGGAAAAAGAACTGGAGTAATCAATATGAGAACCCCCAGTCTGCTCATCAATCTGGTAATTGATGTCTGTGTGGCTGAATTTTTTTTTTTTTTTTCCTGTTTGTACTTATCTTGCATTCCCTTTTTGGAGTCTCTCTTTGACCTTGAAGATGCATAAGGTTCTTGATTACTGTCAATTACTGAAAATCATGTTATGTCATTTTCACATACAGCTCAGACAGACTAGCTTTCTATAGCATATACAGCCCTTGATTATAAAAGGGTGGAACCACATTCTCTTGATATAGTATTGCAATTGTATAGCAATACAGCCCTTTATTATAAAAGGGTGGAACCACATTCTCTTGATATAGTATTGCAATTGTATAGCAAGCTGTAAAATTTGTTGTATTACCTGCATTGCCCTGCTCTTTCTTCTCTGCTCATTTTCTTCTCTCGCCACAGCATTCCTCAACCTCACTCTTCCTGGCCAACATCCCAACCCAGAAGTTGTTGTTCAAGAAGTTCATAGGTAAAATACATAGCTTTAATTACCTCCTCTGTTTTTTTTTCACTGTTTTCTTCTGTTTCTCAGCCTTTTGTAGATCTGAGTTATCAATCTTTACTTCTTTTTTCCTTTATTTTTCAGGAAGGTTTATGCTTCTTTGGCAAGAAGGCAAATGCTGCAAGGAACCCAAAAATACTAGGACTCTTCATGCCTAACCGAAAACCCAATAGATGACTGTTGGGAATGTGACCCAAATTGGCCAGACAACAGGCAGAGCTTAGCAGATTGTGCAATTGGGTTTGGCCAATATGCTCTTGGAGGCAAAGGTGGGGAGTATTATATTGTCACAGACTCTTCTAATGATGATGCTGTGAATCCAAGGCCAGGCACTCTGAGATATGCTGTGATACAGACTGAGCCTCTCTGGATTGTGTTCCCTGGCAACATGCTCATCAAGCTCTCCCAAGAGCTCATCTTCAACAGCTGCAAGACCCTTGATTGCCGTGGAGCCAATGTCCACATTGTGGGTTGTGGCTGCATCACATGGCAGTTCATAAGCAATGTCATCATCCACAATGTGCATATCCACCACTGTTATCCGTCAGGTACATGAGTTTTCCACTTCCTTTCATGAATTTTTATTTACCATATACGCATGGTTTGCTCATAGTTAAGTGTATTCAGATTTACTTGATACTCTTGGAAGCATAATTTCAGTGTATGCTGTAGGAATTAGCTCAAGTAGCAGAGAAGGTGTTTGATAAAAATTGGTTAGGATTAGAATAAGTTAAGATTTCGATCCATTCCATGCACGTGACGCTAATGTGCGTTCAAGTCCAACCCACTACGGCTACCGCACAAAATCAGAAGGATTTTGATCTCAAGGAAACTGACTTTTTGGACTTTATTTACTCTGTTTAAAATTGGCTTTAAAGGGAAGTTTTGAATGACTGATGAAACAGAGAATATGATTATATGTCAAATATTATATTGTTGTTTTTCAAATAGCATTTGTCTTCTGGCTGCTCCTATCCATATATATAATGACAAATAGCATATTTGGATAATCAAATTTGTTCATTTTCTTCCTTTTCAAATTTACTAGGTTTAATTGTAACCGAAAAAAAAAAGTTACTAGGTTTAATTTGTGCTTCCACACAATATATAATTTATTCTCCATTTAGCTTAACAAACTTATTAATTGCACTCTCTGCATATTTTCAGGATTGATAATCATACAAGCCGATTTCAATCCCTCTTTCGTGTATCAGCCCTCATAAAGATGACATTTATATGCTTTTGTTGAAGAACTTTACGAAATATTCATTACATTTTTGTGTTGTTTTACCCCACATTGTATCTCAGTATCTTCTTGAAGATGTTGCTTTGGAGCCCAAATGGTTGAATAAAATCCCCGTAGGTCAGGAGTTCATGCTTTTTTTTAACTTTTATGGGGAACTTTTGCCATGACATTGATTAAGGAGCCAATATATTTAGCATTGAAATTTAAAATTAACTTTAGAATTCTTCATTAATTCTCAGGTACAGTGAGATCTGTTTCTTTTACTTTCGAGGTTTATATATTTTTATGACTCAGGCTGAATCAAGAAATTGTAAATTCTCCAGTAATGTGTTGATTCATGCAGTTGACAAACTCAGGAGCTTCTTAAGGCAACTTCCTCTTTTTCAAATGCTTTTCTGGTTGGTGGTGCAGAAGACTTCTTTATCATTGAACTTGCAGATCAGGTAAATTTTGAAGCACTCTCTGCTGCAAGTAATTTTGTTGAGTTTTTGTTCTCATTGCATTGAATGATCAGGTGGATATTTTCTTTACTGGTCAGCTTCAAAAACTGAAGGTGGAACCAGCACATAAAACTTCTCCAGGGTAATATTCTAACCAATTTTTAGGTTTAAGATTTAAGGCATCATGTGAACCTGGTATTATGGTGGCTTCAGATTATCGACTTATTTATTGTGGTGCTAATTAATTAAACTCAAGTTATTTGTGCCTAATGAACCACAATTGTAATAATTTTAGTTGTAATATGTATGTGTTTGTGTGTCTATTTGTTTTTTGGTATATAAGCAGATTGCTGTTTCGCATTCTACATGCTGAGGCTGATAGATAATTTTGATGAATTAGAACTTTATGATACACAAGGACAGAGTTGTAGGAACTGCCTTCGCTCACAATTAAGATGTTATTGTCTTCTGAATGAATTTGAAAACAAACCAGTCTTCACTTCATATCCTCATATTTTCGTGTTTCCATTTGTTGGTATGAGAAAAGGAAATGTAACAGAGGTTGTGATTTCTGTTGGGGTCCATATTTTTTATATTCCTTCATATCCAAAACAGTGTTGCAACGGATTAATTAATTGAGATTAATTAATTGAGACTGTCTTATCTCACATGGAAAACCAAAATTATATAGGTTCTGCTGCATGCTAAATTTGCAGCTCAACTCTTTCATCTATGTTCCTGAGTCTTTGGAGCTCATTGTTTAGACTGTTGTTTATGAAAAATTTGATGATTTGCAGCATCAATGATTTAGACAATTAAGGCACAGTGATTATCATCCATAGTTTTGACTTTGGTTTTTCCTTTTGTATTCCCTAGAAATTAATTTTAGTGAGAAATTTGGATTTCCATTTCAGAAGGTTTGTTTTAGAATGCAAAATCCAAATATTATGAAGTGTGCACCGGAGAAGATCCTCTTTTTGCTTTTCCCAAATATAAGTAGTCTGTTATATTAGTATGATGTTTCATACCCCCAACTTATCTTTTATAGTTAATGTTCCATTTGTGTTTTGCAGGGCCTGAGTCATTGGGTATTATTGTTGGAATTGTTTTCTTGGTCCTGAGAATCTTATTCCAGTTTTTCAACTTCACTGCAGATTCAAATGTAAGTTTGCTCTCTTTCATTGAATACAGGAACATAACTTTATTTCAATTTACAATTTCTGCAATTTATTGTTACTCAGAGGTGAAAGTGTTTGTTTTTGGTGAAAGATGAGAATTCCTGTTTGTTTGTTATCTGTTTGCCTACTTTTTAAACGTAGTTATTTATATAGTTTAAGGGCGTTGGTAAAAAACTGTTCCCACCAATTGAGGGGTAGGTGATGAGTACATTTTGTTCAAACCCATTAGAGTTTACAAATGAAAGAGATGGAAAAAATTTGATGGCCTAATACTAATGTGGTGTTTAAATTTGGTGGCCTAATACTAATTTGATGGCCTTATCAGATGTTTTAGATGTAATGAACAAAACTATAACCCATAGCCTGTTATTTTTGCCTTTATTCTGCTTACATTAACACCCGTCATTTTCCAAATTTGTATCAACAGAGTTAAAACCTCTGCAGAGGACAACAAAGAACATAAGCCACCTCTACAGCGGAGCTAACAAGAGAGAGAACCCATTCTAACAGAGATCAAGGCAGAAAAATCCTCTTCCACCACCCAGTGGCATATATATAAAGACCTATCCAAACTCTTTTGAACAATGAGCAGCTCAATATTGTCGATAGTTTGATGTTTTGACTGTTACTTGATTTATTAAAATATGGTCAGTATTTTAATCAAGACAAACAACATAAAAAACATGTTATTATCCTTTTTTTTTTTGTAACTTAGACTTGCTAAACAAAGCATGATGCCACTATTTAGATCTCCATGACTATATAAATAGTACCATCTTTCCTATACATTTCACAACTTCGTACACATTTCACACGGTTTTAAAACCCGCAGCATCACCCGGGCACCATTGCTAGTCATGAGGTAACAAATGTCAAACATGTGGAAAATAAAAGCATCTGCCGGCCAAAGTTATCAAACATGTCAACACCAATTATGCCATAGGAGGAACAAATGTCAGCACCACATTGCTTGAAGTATACAGATGCTCATGGTGGCGGCACAAACCCAAAAAGATATGTATTTTTTGACCAGGCCAAGGCTGGCCCCTATTGCCAATATGCCAACTTAAAATATAATATGTCTCTTCCGAGTGCATGAGTTGGCAATAGAGCTAGTGAAAACGGAACAGAATTCAAGCCTGGTCAAAAAAGGAACATAACTCAAGCCAAAACAAACTTTTGATGGTCTTAAAAATGGTTGGACCACACTTAGAAATCCAATTCAAACATGAAAGTATTGGTAGCTGTACAAAGCACTATTCTGTATTTGCTTTTGTGTGAGAAACACGGGATCATTCAAACGAGAAAAACTTAGGTGTCACTTGTTTTTACATTTTTTCTCTATCTTTCTCATTACGTGATGAAAGGGGTGGAGAGGAATAACATATGCAAAGTAAGCAAAAAATTAAACCTGCAATCAACTTGATGGTGGGAACAAAGAACTTGCAATAAATTATATGAGAACCAATTTCCACCTCCAGTTGTAAAAACTGGTTCTTCAGATATACCTCTCAAGAAAATAAAAAAAACGTCCTTTCAGTAACTCTGTAAAAACGTTTTAAATTAGTAATATTACTATGAACTTGTACCTGAAACATTAACACACGTTCAAATTGACCTACACACATTCATTGCAAGTTATTAATTAACAAGCACATAAAAAATACACTTACAAACTAAGTAAGCCAACACTTTCTATGAAGGAAAACAATAGAAAGCACAAGAATTCTTTCTCTGAACCATGGACAAGAAAGAAACAAAACCAAAAAATGTAAATGAAACAAAAAAAAGTTAATTGAGGCATATAGCTACACATCGACTTTGCGTGAATTCAACAGAGCTTTTGAGGAACCTGCTGACTGTGATGAATTATAAGTAGCGCAGCTGCTACATGAACACTGCGTTCCATCTTTAACCGATGATCCGGTGAGGTTAAATGATGTGTAGGAGAACCTACACATACTCAATGGAGGTGAAAAGTACGTTGGCACTGGCAACTTTGATGGCAGGCTTGGCATTGGAGCTTCAAAATTGAGAACGTTTATGACTTGCCTAATAGAGGGCCTAACAGTAGGATCAGGATGGCAGCACCATAACCCAACCGCCATCAAGCACTCTATTTGCTGCTCATCAAAATCCCTACACAATCTTTTATCAGCAGCTTCAAGTATTTGGTCTTTTCCATAGAGATCCCAAACCCACTCCACCAGCCTTACCCTGCTTGGTTCTGCCTTTGCTTCAACTGGCCTCCTTCCACAACTGATTTCTAGGGCAACCACCCCAAAACTATACACATCAGACTCTTTGCTAGCCCTGCCAGTTGTCACACACTCTGGGGCTAGGTACCCCATGGTTCCTGCCAAAACAGTTGTTTGCGACCCCAATTCATGGTCTACCAGCCTTGCAAGCCCAAAATCACCTAGCTTGGCATTGAAGTTTGAATCCAGCATCACATTGCTTGACTTGATATCTCTATGCACCACACATTGTTCCCACTCCTCATGAAGATACAAAATGGCAGAGGCCAAACCAAGGGCTATTTTGTACCTTAGTGTCCAAGTTAGGTGGAGTTTCATTCCAAACAGATGGGAATCAAGGCTTCCGTTTGGCATAAGTTCGTAGATGAGAAGGAACTCACTTTGTTCATGACACCAACCAATGAGTTGAACCAAATTTCTGTGCCTCAATCGACTGATGATCCTCACTTCCGCTACATACTCCTTTTTCCCCTGCTTTGATCCTCTGGACACCCTCTTCACAGCCACTTCTGTGTTGGATTCACTTAACAAGCCCTTGTAGACACCTCCAAATCCTCCCTCTCCAAGCTTCCCTCCCTCTGAAAAGTTATTTGTTGCACGACTTAGTTCACGGTAAGTGAACCTCCGGGGCCCTGTTCCTTTGTCAAACTCATCATCCATAGACATGTCATATGCCTCATCTATCTTGTTAACCCTTTTCCTCCAAGACATGAACCAGAACAGGCCTAATCCACAACTCAAAAGCCCGAAACCCACTCCTAAACCAATCCCCAACCTTAACTTTTTTTGCGCTTCCTTATTACTGTTGATCTCCAGGGTTGAACTAAATGACCAAGACAGGATGTTATGTATTTCAACCCAATAACCTGTGGCAGCAGAGAAACCAACGCTAACTAGCTCCGGCAACACATCCTTCAAATTAACAATATAAGAGACGCTACAATCTCCAACATTGTACGTTGGATTGTTAGAATAAGTTAGGAAAACACTCAAATTCCTGGTGGTGGAGTTGTAAGTCACCCATGCATTTGCTACTGATCCATTTTTTATGGTAGTTTTCCATGAAACATTGGCTACTGAGGCAATGGAATTGACATTGATTCCTACATGATCAGGACTTGGATCCCATTCATTCTCATAACTGTCAAACTCAACAGCAACAATGGTATTTTTGGAGGCGTTTAAAGCAGTCTCAGAGCTAAATAGTGCAAGGTATCCACCAGTTGAATGGTTGGGAATCTCTGATCCAAATGGTGCAAGGAAGAAAGATATGCCATCGCCATAGTATGTGTCGTTGAGAGCTTTCATGACAAAGGAGAAATGAGTTGTGAAGTCAGTGAGCCTCCCTGTGCTGGAGTCCCAAAGGCGCACCGGTTGAAAGTATGTGGCTCGACCAGCACTCTCAGTCAAGGGACCATCAACTTGATTCTTTGTGAGTTGGATGACTCCTCTTGATGGAAATGCATCGCCTTGGAAGTTTAAATCCTTCGTATTGGTATTAAAACTGGAGATGTTGAAGGAGAATGACTTAACATTTTTTAGTAATAACAGCAACAGAAAGATGTGAATGAGAAGTGAGGGTAAAGTTTGTGTTTGGAGGTGTGAAAATGGTTTGAAGAAAGCCATGGTTGCAAGGCCTGCATTCAGAAAGAAAAGCAGGAAGGCAGATGTATGCTTATTTGGATGGAGAGGCCTAGACAGTTCAACTATATGGTTGTCCGGTTTCAAGACTTGGTTTTAATAACCAAGTCAATTTCATCAAAGGATATTATTTTCAGTTGTTCTCACTCAAATACGCCACAAATACATACACACACTACATTCTGATCATATTTGTTTTACCATAAGATATCATTCTTGAAGTGTACTTATTAATTACATGCATCATGTGATTAGCTAATATGATCATAAAATATGTGTATCGTGCCGGTTGAGTTGCAGGATTTTAGTGTTTTGTCTGTGCATTTGGCCGGGAATGTGGAAGCAGATGTTACTGATTAATTTAACCATTGTGAATTTGTGATGTGTGGTCGGCTTGCTGGTCTGCTAAGGTATCTAAGATGATAGCTGCTTTTTTTTTCTTTTTCTTTTTCCATTGGTTGGTCAGGATTAAATTATTTATGGTTTCCAGGAATATGACTCTGTATCTTTCATTCTGACTTTTTCAATTGTTCTATCTACCCCAACTCAACAAAACATTAAACACAATAATCTGTTTTCTTACGTTAATTTAAACTATGCATTACATCAGGCTTGGAGAACAGCTGAGAATTAAAGTAATGTAAGAATGTGACAAAATAACAGGACAAAATTGTGTTTTGATATTTTCTTCCACACCTCAAGAACAACGCCGGTTGCCGTCCTAATTGTGTATTTTCGAAGAGACTGGATAGGATGGTTGAATTCTCAAAGAAAACAAAACCATCTCCACCCTAGCCTGCCGAATAAGAAAAGATTTGAGAAGAAAGGGTCAGAGTGGTCATATATCCCACAAATCAAATACTTTTCTTTTGGTTGTTTCAAAATTCTTTCAATGGTAATATATACATTTTATATTAAATTTGGCTTCTCCACCCTTCAAACTAATTTTTTCTTACCTGCAACTTATTGTGTTATTTTTCTGCAAATAAAACCCAACGTTTATAAGTAAAACCCAATTACTATGATTTAACTAAGCGAGTTACCTAATTAAATTTAAAATATGATTTATTAAAAATTTGACTAATCACATATTAATTCTTTTAAATTTCAAAATATTTGGCACTTCTCTCTTAAGAACCCCTCGTTATCCCATTATATTTGCATGTCTTTCATTTCTGGTCGATTGTATCACTACCCAAGATTCCATCTACAAGGAGATGGGTGAGCTACAAGTGTTGGATCTTCTGCTTTGTATAACGTAGTCCTAAGTACTATTAGGACTTTAGGAGGATTTTGGAA